GCTATTCCTTAATGTACACGTCTATATAAAAGGAAGGAAATAAATTAAATGTCTGTACAGGTCAATAATCAATATTCATAATCAATCACGTTGATTTAGTTGGGATTTTACGCTCCTCAACACTCCCCTTCAAGTTGGAATGTATGATGATGATTCCCAACTTGCCGAGTAAAATTGCAAATTGTGGAAGACTCATGGAATATGTTTGTTGGTTGTTGTAAGGTGGAAATATGAGCCGTTTTGATCGTTCCAATTTGAACCTTTTCTCACTAAATGGCAATCAATCTCAATGTGTTTAGTCCGTTCATGAAATACTGGATTCAAAGTAATGTAGAGCGCTACTTGGTTGTCACAGTATAACTTGACTGCATGTAAATGCTTGATCCCTAAATCTTGCAAAATATATCGTAACCAAGTAATTTCACAACAAGCGGTAGCCATGGAACGATATTTAGCTTCGACACTAGATTGAGATACTGTGGTTTGCTTCTTGGTCTTCCAAGAAACCAAAGAATCGACAAACACACAATACCTGGTAGTAGAACGTCGAGTATCACGACATCAAGCACAATCCGCATCACAAAAGGCATTTAATTGAATTGGATTGTTGGTAGAAAGAAAAATAACTTGTCCTGGTGCACGTTTGACATAGCCCAAAACCCGATGAACTGCCCCTAGGTATGGTGTTCGTGGCTTATCCATGAACTGACTCAGAGTGTGAACGGCGTACACCAAGTCAGGCCGCATAATTGTCAAATAGATCAGCTTCCTTACAAGCCTTCGATACGAAGATGGATCATCAATGTAATCACCCTTATGTTTGCTAAGGGACAAATTCTGCTCCATGGGTGAATCGGCTGGTTTTGCACCAAGTTGTCCTGCATCTTCTAGTATTTCAAGTGCATACTTGCATTGTGAAAGGACTATGCCTTTGCTAGAACGAGCAATCTCTATGCCAAGAAAATATTTCAATTGACTAAGGTCTTTCAATTTGAATTGTTGTAGCACATATAACTTGGTTGCTTCAATGTCTTGTAAACTATCCCCTGTCAAAATGATATCATCCACATAGATGAGTAATGCAGTGAATGTGCTACCTCGAGTTCGAACGAACAATGAATAATCTACCTTCGATTGATGATAGCCTGCTTGCTTAAGGGATATAGAAAGTTTAATGAACCATTGATGTGAAGCTTGCTTAAGTCCATACAAGGAATTATAAAGCTTCCATACACGAGTTTTCCATTTTCGTCTGAATCCAGGAGGTAGATTCATATAAACATCTTCATCAAGATCACCATTGAGGAAAGCATTGTTGACATCACGCTGATAAAGATGCCAACGATGCGTGGAAGCAACGGCGAGAAGGAGGCGGACTGTGACAAGTTGTGCGACAGGGGCGAAAGTTTCCCCGTAGTCCAAACCCTCAACCTGATTATAGCCCTTGGCGACCAAACGTGCTTTATACCAATCAAGGGAACCATCATGATGAAGTTTGACCTTGTACACCTACTTACAACCAATGGGTTTCTTGTCGTGGGGCAAATGTTGAAGAGTCCATGTGCCATTAGCTTCAAGGGCAGTCAGTTCTTGTGCCATGGCATGATGACATTGAGGGTTATGAGTTGCTTGAACAAAAGAGATGGGTTCTTTGACCGCTGAAAGAGAAGCACTAAAAACACGATGGTGTTGTGACAAGCGATCATATGTAAGAACATGAGAGAGAGGATGTTTGGTACCTTGTGGTTCAATCAACGTTGAGTTAGATGATGGGAGAGACCTGGAATGTACTTTTATGTTAATATGATACTGCTGAAGATAACTAAGCCGAGTGGTGGTACTCCGTAGCGGTGGTTGAAACCCCGGTACAAGAGTAAGTGGAGGAGCCGCATATGGAGACTCAAGTCCAGGTGTTGGAAACTCAAGGTCAGGCGCTGGAAATGCAAGGTCATGTGCTGGAAATAGCGAAGTATGAGAATTAAGTCCATGCATAGGGGACTATACATGTGGAGTGGAGTGAGAGGTTGGGGCATCATCAAAATTGGTGGGATGAGAGGTTGGGAAGACAAGAGAAGAGTCGGTAATGGAAGATGGAAAAGGGAAAGTAGTTTCATGAAAGATAACATCCCGAGAAATAAATTTTTTACTCGTGTTAAGATCATAAACACGATAACCCTTCGTAACATATGGGTAACCAAGAAAAATGCAATGTGTGGCCCTAGCATCAAATTTGGTTAGGCAATGATGATGAGTAGAGGCAAAGCACAAACAACTAAAAACCCTTAAGTGATCATAGGCTGGTGGTTTAAGAAAAAGGATTTCGTAGGGAGTTTTTCCTTTAAGAACCTGTGTAGGAGTGCGGTTGATAAGATATGTGGCAGTGAGTATGGCATCCCCCCAAAATTTCTTAGGAAGTTTGGCTTGGAAAAGTAAAGCTCGTGCAACATTGAGAAGATGTCGGTGTTTTCTTTCGACTCCTCCATTTTGCTGTGAAGTGGAGACACAACTAATGTGATGTAAAATCCCTTTATCAGGAAAAAAAAAAATTGTGTCATCATAAACTCAGGACCATTGTCACTACGAACAATTTTAACTAGGAAGAAAATTGTGCTTCAACAAGATTGATGAAGGTAGTGAGCTTTTGACATGCATATGATTTGTGATGCATTAAATAAACTCATGTACATCTGGAGTAATCATCTACAAAGGTCAAGAAGTATTGTGCCTTAGTGATGGAAGGAACGTGATAACCACCCCAAATATCAACATGAATGAATTCAAATGACGCAAGTGAACTAATAGAACTCAAGGGAAAAGGACAATGAGTTTGTTTAGCTAAGGGATA